TACGAAACGTCGAATCGAAATATTTTCGAACGATAGGGGTTGGAAAACCCCGGCACGGTATCCCGTGGTGGACGATATATTTTCTTGCCGCGCGAACGTTTCTAAATAAATATACGCGAGGAGACTATGCAAATACAAATATCGGCGAAGCGATAAATTCAAAGCGTAAAGCTTCGGCCGCCGCCACCGCCGCCCGTTTTCGAACGCGGGGATGTACCGATCCGATCCTCCTGCGAAAATATTGTCCCAACGAATTCTACGATCGAGTCTTTGGTATCGGTCATCCACGTACCGTAAGGACGTTACGCTTCCATCGAGTCGATCCGACGAATCCTCTTTCTCTCTCTCTTTATATATATGTATGGTGTGTTGGTCGTTTAATTGATTTCCATTTATTTTTCTATCTTCGAGCCGGTCGAATGAATTTTACAAAAGGCGAGAGCGAACATGGAAACATGGAGCGATCGAAAGGAAGTGTTCTTTGGTTTGTCCGCGATTCGATTAATTGATTCACCGATGCACTTGACTTTCAAAACGTTTCTTAATATTCATCCCTCATTAGAATGCGGGCGAAATCCGATAACAAGGAAGGGGCACAAAGAGCGCGTATTATTTAATAGATTCAATTGGAACTACTTTCCTCTCTCCCCCGCCTTTTTTTCAGGGGGAAGACGCGCGATTCTCGGTATTTTTGTAACAATAGAAGTTTCTTTTTTTTTTTTTTTTGTCTAATTGGAGAGAAATCGAGGTTTTCCTCTTTATTTCATTTCATCTTTTTCTCTTTCAATCGAACGAGAAAGGCTTCGTTATGGACGAGATATTAATTAAAGATATTTCGAATTTCAAAAATATTCCATTCTCATTCGTTACGATATGCAGTTTCGATTAATAATTTTTATTATTTCCTATTAAGAAAATATTTCGTTTGAATCGAATAATATTTAATTGTTCGAAAATAGAATTTCGAGAGAATCAGAGCAGTTTTACGTTAAACGCCAGAGACATTTTTTCCGACGAAAGAAAATAGCGTAAGGTAACACGTGTAGTCGAGCGTAAAGTACCTTCTCGTAAAGTCGAACGAAACTTGTTCGAGATCGAGCCGCGTGTTCGTTCATTCCGGGAACAGAATGGCGTTTCTTGGTTTCGTGGTATCCATAAGTGAATGGAAATGATTTTCAGGGGTCGAATAGTACCGAAAATAACGGAGGTAAGAGAGTCGGAGAGCAAGAGAAGGCAGGTATAGAGAGAAGTGTCGCGTCAGTAAATCGCGGGACAATATAATCGACTGCTCGGTCTACGGCACCGTTCGAAGGCAAAGAGCGACAAAAGGTCCACGGACAAAGGAAGACAACGGGAAGGAGGCGAGAATGTTGGCTGGACAGAGCGAAAAGTCAGCGTGAACGAATATTACTTTGGATAGAAAGTTCGTAGAATATTCTCTCTTTCTCTCTCTAATATTAAAGAATTATTATTATTGGTGTCGCAATTTCTTCGATATAGAAAATGAAAACATTCTATTTAGAAATATAAATATAAACGAAGAAAGAGAATTTTATTTTTAATCGGAAAAAATAGGTTGAAAATTTTTCGAATGCAGGGAATTGTCGATACACTTGATATATGATAATCAATGGAAAAAAAAACTATCTCTACAAAGCACACGAATCATTCTAACTTGTAATACCGAATCTAAAATATTACTGTATCTCGAAAAATAAACATCGAATAATTCGTTTTAACCAAAAATGACAGAGGTTTTCGCTTAAAAAGGCGAAAAATAGAGAAGTATAACCTCAAAATATCCCATTGTATCTCGAAAAATAACAAAACATTGAATAATTCGTTTCAAATCAGAACAAAAAGACGAAAAATAGAGAAATACCTAAAAATATTCCACTATGTCTCGAAGAAATGACGAAACATCGAATAATTCGTTTCAAACCAGAATAAAAAGGCGAAAAGCAGAAAAGTACAACTTGAAAACATTCCACTGTGTCCCGAAGAAGTAAACATTGGATAATTCGTTTGACCAACCAGAGATGGCGGAGTGGTAAAAAGTGATTGAGAAGCGTTCAAACAATCGAAAGGAGTCGGGAAGAATCTCGCGAAGGATATACAAAATTGGATAAACCGTTGGATAAAGAGGGACCCGCATATCGGTACGTGCGATCGAAGAATTTGGCCTGGCTGCAGCTACGACGACAATCCACAGTCGACCAGCAGCCAGTTTGCCGAACGCGTTTCGCGTGACGTTCCCGAATATTCGTCCGTTATATTCACGGGACACGGTTAAATTGTCGAGGGACTCGCGGCAATTCCCCCCTCCTACCTCCTCTCCAATTGCTGTCTTCGTTACTCCTTCTTTCTATCGTCTCGCCTTTTCCAACGAGATGGTTCGAGAGGTGTATCCAGAAGGCTAATTCGAAATAACGATGCCCGGCCCAACGGTGTCCCGTACAAGAATACGCGATCAACCGTAATTTCGAGTGACGGGGGAACTTGGAACCGTGTCGAAACTTGGAAAAGGGTGATCGTAGGTAGGAAAATTACCTGTTTATTCATCGTGTATGCTTGCGAGGTCAAAGTTGAAACGAATAGTGGATCAAATATGTAAACGTATCGAGTCATGCTGGGTCCATTTTTCTTTCATAGATAAATATTTTTCTTGTACGTTATAATTTTTTTTCTACAAATTAATATATAATTCGTTTGCATCCAATTCGAAAATAACCAATTTCAACTTTTCTATTTTGACAAATAAATCGAAACTTGATCTACGATGAGAACGAAAGAAATGTTTTCGCTCGTTAACCTTAAACATTTTCGAAAGCGTCCTGTACGTTATTCACATCTCGTATTTAGAGCGGAGGAATATCGATATTCGTACTACGTAAAGCTGAAAAGTTGGAGTTTCGCTCGGATGTATAATATATAATGGGCGACCAAAACGGATATCTGGTGGCGGAGATTAGGTCAGGTCGGATGCAATCTCGGTGTGGAATGAAATCAGGCGGTTCATCAGGATCGGTGGATTCTCGGTTTCGGAGACTCGATTTAACGTTTTTCCGCGATAAATCGATAATAGGAGAGCCGGCGAGACGGACGAATTCGATTTTCCTTGGATCGGGAACCGGTCGGTAAAAAACATTGGATTAAACGGGTGGCGGTTGCCGCCACTTTAACGAACCGGAATTTCCGCCCTGCCCGTTGCCTGCCGCCTGTCTATTAAACAGAATCCTCCTCGTTCATTACGTTAATGAATACAAAATCGATTGATACGTGTGTATATCCATAATTAACCGAAACCAACTCGATTTCAAAGTTGGTCCGGACCTGTGGGTACGGACTCATTCAATTATCGACAGTCCATAAACTCGCGCGTCCATCCACCAACCTCCCCCCCCTCTCAACCGGCCGAGCTAATTTCATAAATTTGATAATTGCGAAACACAGCTGATACGTTTAACCGTGGCGCGGGCCTGCGATTGAAACAAAGCGAAAACGGGCCACGAAACGACGAGGAAATCGGCGAGGAAATATCTTTAAATTCGAATTTTACACAGTTTTTGTTATTCGTTATCGACTTAATTTTTCAATTCGATCAGGGCCAAGCTGCTCGAAACTCGAAATCGAAAGTTGAACGAGGTCCAAAATTTTGAACGATCGAGAGGAGGAGGTTAATCTCATCCGGCGTTGAGAGAGGGGCGAAGAAGAGAAAGGAGGAAGATGGAGCGTGTTTACATGACAGATAACGAAACTAACGAGGCTAATCCAATTTGAAGGAGTCACCCTTTTTCCTGGGATATTGGATGGAGAGGGAGGATAGAAGGAAGCAAGGAATTCGGAAATTTTCCCACTGCAGTTCGGAATTTGATTGGGTAAGACCTTTTCTAATTCACCCGGCGGGGAACACACGGCCCTTGTTTTCCAGCCGGCGGCGGTGTCGTCTCTTTTACGACGTCTAAGGTCGTTTTCGTCTATTCAACTTCCAATTGGATCCGGGTAATTGCCGCTAAAATTATCCTCTAGCCCGCCTTAGAACCGCTTCGCCTTCGCCATTCCTTCGAG